GCATAAAAGCTGGCTAGGTGACTTTGGGCCAATCACCAGGAGATGGTGAGTTCTACTCCCACTTTAGGCACGTAAGCCATCTGGGTGACTTTGGGCCAATCATTCTCTCTCAGCCCTACCTACAGGGTTGTTGTTGTGGAGGAAAAATGGAGGAGGAAGTAGTATTCGTATGCTTGCTGCTTTGAGTTATCTACAAAGTAACAATGGTGGAATAAAAGTTTGATCAAGAAATAATAAATAAACATTAACATGTTCTCTGCTTCGTCCCTCCTGTAGGTCATCACAATGCCACAGTACCTGAAAAAACGTTTTGGAGGCCAACGGATCCGTCTCTACCTCTCCATCCTCTCTCTTTTCATGTACATCTTCACCAAAATATCAGTAGGTCATTTTCTCCAGACTTCCGGGACACAGTGACAGGATGTGGGGAATATTTGAAAATACAAATCTCTTTACTTTTGCCTTTTTAGCAAGGCTTGAATAATGTTCTCATGGTTTTTAAATTCTGATTAATCTGTCATTCTCCCTGGTGACATTTCTGCTCCTCTCGCCTGCAGGTGGACATGTTTTCTGGTGCTGTGTTCATCCAGCAAGCTCTGGGTTGGAATATTTATTTAGCTGTCATAGTGCTTCTGATCATAACCACTATTTATACCGCAACAGGTAACTTGGGTTCTTGGGGGAGGGATAAACTGGGTACATTGAGGTAGTCCTCAACTTACAACCATTCGTTTAGTGACCGTTTGAAGTTACAAATTTTCCTGAAAAAAATGACTTATGACCATCCTTCACACTTATGACCATCGCAGCATTCCCACAGTCACGTGATCAAAATTATGGCTCTTGGCAACTGGTGTGTATTTAGGATGGTTGCAGCGTCATATGATCACACAATTGCCATTGTCAACCGGCTTCTGACCAGCACAATCAAGGGAGGATCTTGGATTCTTTTAACGACTTCATGACTCACATTACGACTGCAGTGATTCACTTAACAACTGTGGCCAAAAAGGTCATAAAATTGAATGTGAGACACTTAACAACTGCCTTGCTTAACAACAGATATTCTAGTCCCAATTGTGGTTATAAATTGAGGACTTACCTCTATTAAATAGGAAGCTGAAGTTCCTAGGCAATGTATTTTTAGTATTTATTTAATTTGTCAATCGCTTACAAGATACAGGTATAAGAATAAATATAGTTTTGAATACATGAGATAGACACTTATAAGAAGAAGAAGAAAATAGGACAGGGACGGTAGGCACGATTGGTGCGCTTATGCACGCCCCCTACAGGCCTCTTAGGAAGGGAGTGAGGTCAATAGTAGACAGTCTAAGGTTAAAGTTTTTGGGGTTTGGGGAAGAAACCACAGAATCAGGTAGAGTATTCCAGACATTCTGTTGCTGAACTCGCATTTTCTACAGTCAAGTTTGGTGCGGTTAACCTTGAGTTTGTATCTATTGTGTGCTCTTGTATTGTTATGATTGAAGCTGAAGTATTCATTTGCAGGTAGGACATTGCAATGTATGATTTTATATACTATATTTAGATTAGACCGGAGGGAGTGTAGTTCTAGATTTTCTAGGTCTAGAGTTTCAAGTCTGGTGGCATAAGGTATTCTGCAATGAGTAGAGGAGCGGAGAACTCTTCTTGTGAAATATTTGTGGACTTTTTCAATTGTGTTAATATCAGGTACATGATATGGGTTCCAGACTGATGAGCTGTATTCAAGTATAGGTCTAGCAAAT